AAATTTCAATCAATAATAACATTTTTAATGACTTCTATCTTCTTTTTCAGCTTCATTTTTTTTTTTTTTAAATAATCAAGTTGGTAAAAAAAAAAATAAATAAATAAATAAAAGAAGCAAACAGTGTGTGATGTTAACAAGTTTTAAATGTTACAGCTTATCAACAGCAAATATAGTAAAGCTGACTGTTAGCAGCAACAGGACTCAAAATGGTAATCTATTAAACATCATAGAAAATAATTGGAATCACCATGTTGATCACACGCAATCAGTTGACCGATCGAAATACACGGTTAATCAATGTTTTCCTTTCTCTTTTTTCCCTTCTTTTTATCGATCGACATAACATTTCTTTAGTTCAAAAAAAAATTTTTTTTTCTTTCTGATGAATGCAAAGAAACAAAAGTGTAATCGAGTTGAAAAGATCAACTGACGGTACCACTTCACCGTGTCTGTGTGTCTGAGTGTGTTGGTGTATCAATGTATCTGTTGCTATGTGTGTAGACGTTTTGTTATTTGTTTCCATTGTTGCACCAACGTCAGAGCAACCTATTGCAACAAAATTGCATTGTGTTTTATCCTTGTAAAAAGAAAAAAGTTGTTTTTTTTTTTTTCATTCATAGTTTACCGGTATACTAAAAAGTTGAAAGCTAAAGAAAAAAAAAAAAAGTAGCAACAACAACAAACAAACAAAACGATAGTAAATAGTTAAGTAAATTGTGTATACTGCAATATGATGTTGCTTAATTTGTTTAAACAACGATCTCTTGTATCCTCTTGCTTTTCCTCCCTTAATTTACACAACAATGACAACGGAAAAAGACAACAACCAACAGTCGGACAAAACCGGTAACAGCGGTTTTTTGTTTGAACCGATGATGAGGTAATACGTTGGTTCAATGTTCTAATAAACTGTATGACGTCATCCACTTATCCTTTTATTTTAATTTTTTTTTCTTCTTTTTTTTTTTTCTCTTTGCAACTATTTTAATGAGTAATGCGGTAGAGGAGACGTGGCAGGGAGGGGTTGGGGTTTGGTGATAGAGGTGTGTGGGGGAGGGGGGGAGCGTTTGGCGAGCCAAAAGGCAGTAACTATTTAGAAGAGCGCATCAGCAAAATACAAACTGTGTTTTAGTGCTGTTACGGTTACAGTTTATCATAGCGCAATTACCAAGCAGTGCACAACAGTAAATTGTCGAACGTTGGTGAAGGATACAGAGAACCAAATTTAGTCAATAGAACAAACTAAAATGTGTTCATATATACATATTTCAAACATCTGTATTTTTAGCGGTTTTGAGTAGGCGGCAATCGATTAGGTGTGCTTTGTGTTTGTCAATAAATTGTTAAAAACTGGTAAAAAAAAAATCTTTTTTTTTTTTTCTTTTTTGTTTTACACAATAATTGCTGTTTTTTCTTTTTTGTTTTACCTTTTGCAGTTAACTTTTTCGATGACACCATTTTTTTCTTTATCATTTTTCATTAACAGCAGCAGCAAAAAAAAAAAAAAAAAAAAAAAA